TGGCGCATTGCCACTTCAGATTACTAATCTGTTGGACTATGTTAGTTACTCTGATTCTACTGCGAATATTTTCATTACGGATTGGCAGACATACTCCAACCATAACTCATAACATAACCCTCTAGAGCTTGCTGAGCGACCTTCAAATCGTCATACGGACAGTAATGAAAGAGCATGTCTCAGATTCATGTGCTATCACTGGAAATACACGCTGATTGTACACTCTTGTTTTCAAGTTTTCAGGTATACGGGACAAGATGTTAAAAAATTCCCAAAAGCTGCCTGCCGCTGACCGCGGTGGCGATTTTTTCGGTAGTGTCAAAGTCGGACGACAGGGAGATAGGGGAGTCCTGTAAATCCATAGCTTTAGCTAGGGACTTCTTGAAGCCCTTCCAGTTAGTGAAGGTTTTCGTGGAGGGGGTTGAAGGAGGTGGCTGATGCCCAAGAATGAGGGAGACCGGTCAGTGGTCGGATCCTAGATCGTCTAGAGTCTCGATTGCCCTGAGGTTGAAGGAAACTCCTTTAACTAGCGCAAAGTCAAGCACGTCTTTTGGTCGCAGTTAGACTTACCTAGTCGGACACTTTGTCTCAGGTAAATATAATCATTTACAACTTTAACTTTACTTAAACTTTAAACTTTTACTACTTAAACTTTAAGCGTACTGTTCCCAACAACGTATCATTTTGTCTTGTCCATGATCGTCTTAACACTAATCCGTCAGGACACACTATTGAGATCATTGAGCATAAAACCAAGGTTCTTCGGCGATTTTGCCATGGTGACTATAGTGGTGGTGACTAAAGTGGTGTGCTTTCGTAGGTACTCTGATCTTGCAACATCTCAATTTATTGACGGACAAACTGGCTGAAAGGACTATAGCAACGCACATTTTTTACAATACAATAATCACAAGACAGTTCAAACTTACGTGCCATCGGTTCAAAAAATGTGGGGAAAGCCCTATTGCCGCTGTATTTTTTATTGCACAACTATCAGGATATATTCAATCTTATGGTTAATATCTCACAGCGTTTAGAAATGAAAAAGGCTAGGAAGTTCAATTACTATTAAATCTTTGATGTACAGCAATAACTTGTTAATTAAAGTCTTTCATAAGACGGTAAAGAACTCTATTTGTCTCTCTAATCCATCTCTCTTCCTCCTCTTATTTATGTTCATTGATCTACCTAAAGAATGTTGTCTTTTTAACACGCTTTTATTAGCTTGGTATATATCTATGTAACGGTATTTTTGAATGTCATTTTCATCCCCTTCCAAACGTCGAATTGATTTCAAACTTCGAACACTTATCAAGGACCGATGACAATGCAATTTTTTTTTATAGAAGAGGGAGCAAACGAGCATGCGGCTCACCTGATGGTAAGTGACTACCGCCGCCCATGAACAACAGCAACACCAGGGGAATTGCAGATGCGTTGCCGGCCTTTTAGAAAGATGTAAGCTCTTTTCTTGAAGGTTCTCGTAGGAAGGAAGTCGTATCGGCCCGGAAAATTCGCTGGTGGTAATTGATTCCACATGGAAATTGTGCGAGGGAAAAAACTTCTTCTAAAACACACAGTGGTGGACCGCCAATCATCCAGATGGTATGGATGGTAACGCGAGTTTTGTCGCGATGTGCGATGGTGAAATTGAGCGGCTGGAATTAGTCCGAACAATTCCTCAGAGCACTCCCCGCGATAGATGCGATAAAATACGCAAGGAGATGCAACATCTCTACGCAGTGCCAGTGTATCGAGCCGATCAGAAAGAACTCGGTCGTCGACGATTCGAACGGCTCTGCACTGGATGCGGTCAAGTGGAAGGAGCTGGCACTGGGGTGCCCCGGCTCAGAGATGAGAACAGTATTCCATGTGGAGCCGAACTTGCGCTTTGTAAAGTTGCAAGCGATGTGCCGGATTGAAATACTGTCTCGCTCTGCTGAGGACGCCAAACTTTTTAGAGGGCAATTGGGCCTTCCCTTCCAAGTGACCACGAAACTGCACACTATTCGATATGTCGACGCCAAGGATTTCGATACTAGCTGAGGCAGCAAGGGGAGTGCCTAGAAACTGAGGAGATACGACAAAGGGGTTCTTTTTAGCGGCAAACGCGCAAACTTGTGTCTTCTGGGGATTGAACTGGACTAGATTTAATCGGCCCCAATCCTAGATTTTGTTAAGCAAAGACTCGACTTCAGACACAAGTTTGTCCCGGTACTCAGCGACGTTTTCCCGAGTAATATTGGCACGGGCGGTATATAAGGCATCACCAGTGCTGTCGTCTGCATAGCAATGAATGCTACCAGTTAGCAACATATCATTGATATGCAGTAGAAACAGCGTGGTTGAACACGCAGCCTTGTGGAACACCAGCGTTGATAGGCTTGAAATCAGAACATGCACCGTCTACTACGACCTTGATGCTCCGTTCAGCAAGGAAACTGGTGATCCATTTGCACAATTTCTCGAGTATCTATCTATCTATCGGGAAGGAAGCTTCGAAAGAAGCGCTTTGAGCCAAACCCGATCGAAGGCCTTCGCTATGTCCAACTAACGGCCAATGCCCCCCCCCTTGGATTCTACTGCCTCCGCCCATCTATGAGTCAGATAGACTAGAAGATCACCAGCTGATTGACCTCGACGAAAACTGTACTGGCGGTCACTAATCAGCTGGTGATCCTCAAAGTACCTCATGAGCTGGCAGTTTATAATGGATTCCATTATTTTGGAGAACAAGGAGGTGATGGCAATAGGCCTGTAGTTGGACGGGTCTGAGCGGTCGCCTTTTTTAGGTATCGGGTAGACCAAAGCTGTCTTACATGAATTCGTGACTATGCCTTGGGAGTAGGAGTACCGAAAAAGACGCGTTAAAACCCGTGCCAACTCCAGAGCACACGTCTTCAGCACAATGGGAGGGACTTCATCGGGCCCACTCGACTTGCTGACGTCCAGGGAGAAGAGTGCTTTGCTAACCGAGAGCTGTGTAAACCGCACATCCGGCATGGAGCACTCACATCACGGGATGGTCGGCGGCGTGTTCCCCCCGTCATCTAGAGTCGAGTTGGACGCAAAAAGAGAGCTTACCAGATCGGCTTTCTCCATTGCGGCATGGGCCAGTGAGTCGTCCTCTCTGTGCAGAGATGGAAGAGATGGCTGACAGAAGTTCCCTTGGCCAGCCTTGGCGAGAGACCAGAATGCACGGGTTCCCGAAGGAAGGCGAACTAGCTTCTCGCCAATTCTGCCGATGTGCTCAGACCTTGCCTTGGCAATGACGCTTTTGGAGGACCTGGAGGCGGAATTATACTTCTTTTTAAGTGCGCTGGTGTCTACATGCCGAGACGTTGATGCGTCAGCCCAGGCCCGGTAGCACTCCTGCTTATAGCGTGATGCAATTTCACAGGAGCGACCAAACCATGGCTGGGATCTGCCTCCGATCGGCACCACAGAGGATGGAATAAAAAGTTTCATACCCTGAAGTACCACATCAACAACAGATTCGGCAACAACGCTGGGATCTTCCGGCGAGAAGCAAACCCGCCCCCAAGGGTAGGATGCAAAAAAAGACCGCATCCCGTCCCAATCAGCTGACCTATAGTGCCAAACACAGCGACAAGCTGCAGATCGCAACTGCGATTGGAGCGTGAGTGGCACCGTACTCCGGATCAGACAATGGTCCGAAGAGCCCAGAGGGGCATCGACGGAGACCTGATATCCGTCCGGATGAGAGGTCAGCAGAAGGTCCAACAGGGAAGGTTCATGGTCTTCCACATCTGGGATCCGCGTAAGCGAAGTAACCAGTTGTGTTAGACCATTTGCCAAAGCAAAGTCATAGACAGATATACCCGCATGATCGATTAAACGAGAACCAAGTCATTCAGCGTGGTGGGCGTTAAAATCACCGAGTATCACGATCTCTGCGGATGGGACCTGTTGTAGCACGGAGTCTGCAGCCATTTGGACGTGGTCGATGAGTCGGTCTGTGTAGGCATTAGCGCTATGTTTCTCCAGGGGTGCTGGTACCCTCCTGGGGTAGTCTTTTATTTAATTCCACTACCATGTTGATGGGGGGGGGGGGATTGGGCCTCCGGCCACCTGCACTCACCAAGCGCAACGCAGAGGTAAACCTCTACTTCACGCTGGTATTCTGTGAGGTCGTGGTACCACCCCGGTTCAAGCTGGCCCATCCGTGTGACAGCAAAAGCTACCGCTTAGCTCTACCACTGTTAAAATAGTAATGCAATAATTAAAATAGTTTCTATTATTGTTCTTGCCAGGATCCTCAAGATTTGCGAATAATTCATGAAACAACTACGATTTCTGCCAGTACAATCTACTGTAAGCCGCGTTAAGGAACTTCGTTCCAAAAAAAACAACACGCTTTTTAGTTAGCCCCACTAAAAAATAGAAACTAATTAATAGTTTTAAAAAAAACACGCTTATGTAGATAGCCGAACTCAAAAGTAGAAAATAATTTACAATAAGTTTTAAATAGTAACTAACATGAAAAATTCATTTTATTGAAATAAAGTTGTAAAAGTTTTATTGTAAAGTGGAGTGCTTGATTGCATTTATTGTAAATATTTTTGTGGATATTTTTAAAATTAGCATCATCATAAAGTTATCTGAAAAAGCACCCCACGTTTTTTCACAATAAAGTGATTTTTTTTATGTTAATCACTATTTTCTTATTTTAAACTTATTGAAAATTATTTTAATTTTTTTAGTTCGGTTATCTACAAAAGCGTGTTTTTTTAAACTTTTATTTATTAGTGTACAAGTTGTTATCTTGGCATATTTTAGTGCACCCTTCCCGTTATTCTTTTTCTTCTATTTTACTTAATTCTTCTTCTGGGTTGTCTGGAAGAGATTGCTATGCACTATGCAGCAATAAGACCGCCCTTTGTTTTTCCCTCAATATTCGTTTTTTTTTTGTGAAATTAATAATGTGGAATGCAATTTTTATGTTTCCATTTTTAAAAACGAAGATCTAATTTCCTTACAGCAGTATTACACTCGTGGTATCTCTTGGCGATACCCTGGCAGTCCACTCCGTGAGTCTGCCTGGTCACCCGTAAGGTGATCACCGGCGGTGCTAGTGTTCCGTTTGTAATTATGTTTCGCGTTCTGGAACAAAATAATTTCAATATCACATAAAAAATATTACAATATAATATTTACGTAAGGGCAAATCGTGTCATGAATTTTATACCCGACCACAACTTCGGTAGCTACAATTTTTAGTATTCCGTTAAAGTAAAAAGTAGCAAAACGGAACATGGAACATCAGCTAGGTGTCTGTCTGTCACAGAGGGTTTTCTCTAAGAGTTTTATGTAGTTTAAAATTGGGCATAGTTATCAAATCGGTTAGCGATTATCCAAATACCTGTGATGATTATAATCAATTAGTAATCATTATAAAGTTATGTTCAAAGTTGAACCAAAAGATTGATCATGCATTGGAGATGTAAATGTTTCCACTACCCCATATCGGCCCGTGGGTGTCGTAAGAGGCGGCAAAGGGGAAGAGACCAGGAAATAGGCAGAAACATGTTCCTAATAACAACTATAAAATAAAAAACTACCGTTGACAACCAGACTGCCAACCAGCCTGCAGCGTAGGTTAGGTAGGGAGGCCTATGTACAGTAGTGGACTTTAGAAAGGCTATAATGTAAATTGAAAGCACATTTCTTCATAACAGTAAAGTAAAATTACAACCTATACACGTCCCACTGCTGGGCACAGGCCTCCCCTCAATTCTGAGAGGAGTTTAGGGCAAGGAATTGTCCGCCGTGCTGCCCCAATACCTGTTGGCAAAATTCACACGTCTTCGAAATATTTTTTTCTTATTTTTCAGACATGCAGGTTTCCTCACGATGTTTTCCTTCACCGCCGAGAACGTGGTAAATCAGCACTTAAAATTGCATTTTTTAATTTCATTGGTGCCGGCGGAGATCGAACACGGGCTTTTTTTTACTTATTATAAGCCAGTGCTTGACCACAATCCCACCTGGTGGTAAGTGGTGATGTGGCCTTAGACGGTAAATCGCACTGTCTTATCGTAACAAAAGCCTATTCACTCTTGCCTTGAAGACGCCCAGATTATATTCGGACGGAATGATAGACGCCGGAAAATTATTCCACTCCTTAGCTGTACGCATTACAAAAGACGATGCAAACCGTTTGGTGCTAATGCGTGGAATATCGACAACAAAGGAATGAAGACTCGCCGATCACATGGTTGTCCGATAGTGGAAAGAAGAGGGAGGGAAATAAAGCGTGTAATTCCTGCGCACAACACACTTTGGCTGTTCGCTTACTGTGAAACTTACAGCGAGCGCTAACCAGCTGAGCTACCACGGCTCTTCATATTATTTCTTCATATTATGTACTTTGCTGTCTATTGGATAATCATAACAATAGTTTTATGTGATTTGGAAAATAACTAACTAGTCGATTACTAAGAATTTAAAAATACATCAACAAATGTTGATTCTTTCCCTCCTAATTGATCACCACTGAAAGCCTTTTTAAATTCACTGCTGGACGACGGAACAAGAATAAATATGGCAGTTGACGTAATTTTTTTAAATTTCCACCTTGATTTGTATTGTTAATTTCTGCGCACACTCTCGAAAATGCATTCTCATTACTTCTCTTCATTATATATATTGTTGGAAATGAGGGTAAAAAAATAAAAGTTAATACGAACAATTGAAGGTAGAATGGTAATCTCCCACTTGTTTTAGCAGTACAAAGTATCACACAGGCGACTAAGAGGCATCAGTCTGGGTAGTGAACACAGCGTCCTCTTGCCTGGGTACAGGTAATTTTAATTAACAGTATTTAGGAATTGACTGGGGAGATGCCGCCATCGTGTAGTGGCGGGTAAGAATACCCACTACCCCATATCTTCCCGTGGAGGTCGTAAGAGGTAACAGAGGGAAACTGAGGCAGAAGATGGGCAGCAGCATCTTTCTGATAACAGGAAATTACAATAAAAAACAGCGACCGCCAACCAACAATATACCCCCATAACGAGACATACAAGAAGTCAATGGATGCAGGTGGCCTGCGATCTTGCTTTGTGGCATTCCTTGGGGGAGGCATAAGTTCAGCGGTGGACTTGTGAAGGGCTGTAATGATAATAAAGATGCAGTCATCTGTTGTGAGAGTCGTGTTCGTCAGTTTAAAAACTATTCGAATAGTCGCATTTGCTCCTTGAAATTCATAAGTCCTGAACTTTGTACCCTTGCTTTAACATTAAATATAAGTACCTGAATGAAGCAAACCGTTGCATTCTAAGAATTTTACGATAGGTACCTTTCTACAAATTTTTCGATCGCTAAGCATCATATTTTATAAACTTCTAAGTAAAATGTTAAAAAATCGGGATAAATAAATCTATTGAAATCTATACAAATAAATAAAATTCAAGTGTCTGTTTGTAATGTCAAAATAACAGCTTTTTACTAATTGCATATAAAAGTATATACGGTACCTAAAACAGAAATACAATTTTTAAAATGTTTGTCTGTCTGTCTGTCTGTCCGTCCGTGTGTCTGTCTGTCCGTCCGTGTGTCTGTCTGTCTGTTTGTTCCGGCTAATCTCCGAAATAGCTGGACCGATTTTGACGGGACTTTCACTGGTAGATAGCTCATGTTATAAGGAGTAACATGGCTACTTATATTTTTGAAAAATAATTAGGGTTCCGCGCAACAAAATTAAAACCCTAAATTACACGCGAGCGAAGTCGCGAGGAACAGGTAGTCTTAAATAATCTTACTTATACATTTTATATAATATAATTAATGTTAACGTGTATCTTTAAAATATCACCGACGATAAATCTTCATAATTATAATTACGTTATATCCTATACAAAAACAAGAGCAAAACAATCGAGCGGCGGAACGCAAAGGATCTCGTAATAAAATCAACGGCGCTTGTAACAAATAGGTCTAAACACATTTTAATGTAATTTGGTGGTTAAAATAAAATATACTAACATATTATCATGCACCGACTTCTTATGTATAACGATATTAAGCTATTATGATTCTAACTTTGATTTATTTTAATCTTAATTCTGATTTTAATATTCGTAATCTACAACAAGTACAAGTAGTATTATGCTTAGAATTAAGGATAAGTTCGTTATAATTGAGGACACTATATACGCAAGTAATGCAATAATTCACGTGTTTGTATAATAAATAATAATAATAAATAAACATAATAAATATTTTATTTTAAGTACTTTTATTTATCGTGAATCAAATAAATAAAAAGTGTGAAAATCAATTTATCTGGTAAACATTATATACTTTGGCTTATGGAGAAGATATTTGAGTTTACAAAACGATTTATAACTCACCCCATAGACGTGGAGATTATATGACATATTATTAGTTACGAGTACAATGTATTTGTAAAAAAAAATTTTTATAGGATAGGGTGACAAACGAGTACATAGTCCACCTGATGGTAAGTGGTTGCTGTGACCCATAGACAACTACATCTATCCTCAATAAAGAATGAAAATTCAGATGCGTTGTCACCCGTGAGGGCTTAGATTGAATTCCTCTTTTCCAGTAAAAAGGGTCATCGGCTCTCTACACTCACCATAGGAAACACAGCAGTGTTAAGCTGCTATTTTACGCCGGTATTCTGTGAGAGCGTGATCCTTCCCCAGTCGAGTCGACCCATTCGTGCTACAACTTTACTATTAATATAGCTACATCATGGCCACGTTTTTATTATCTATGTAAACACAAATCACACAAAGCTAATAGACTAGGAGATGGTGACAGAAAATATTCTCCCATTTTCTCCTGCATGCCTTTTTAAGAATTGATAACTGACCCTAAAATATGAAAGATAGAGGGGTTACAAGCCCTTGCGCGCTTGCACGTCATAAAGAAAATGGCTTCACTTTTTGTAAAGAATTTTAGATTTTTTCTCCGTGACATTATATTGCATGCCTTTGTAATATAACGTAGTTGGAACAAATTTAAGCTATAATAATTGATGGCATGCAATTCGCAACGGCCGACGGGGCTCAAAAGGTTACGTAGAAATGAAAAAAAAAAATAGAACATTTCCGTGTTTACAAATTGCATGCCGTTATAAAAAATTAGTTTTTTTATCTCAAAAATACTCTACGAAAATTGGCATGCACCCCTCGTATGACCAAGGGTGGAAAATATTAGGAAACTGTTGTGAAAATTCAATACAACTTTTCCGTGATTTCAAACTACTTTACTAACTACTAAATTTAATAAAAATTTCCGCGTTTTTTATTGGCATGCCGTTTTGTATTTCATAAAACATATTATTTTAAGTATATACCGAAAATGACATGCGTATTAAATAACACGATCGTATTTTAAATAATAATGAAAGTTTCATAAAATATATGAAACATTTCCGTGTTTTTAATTTGCATGCCGTTTTGCATTTCATAAAAACATATTATTTTTAGAATATATCGAAAATGGCATGCGTATTAAATAACACCATCGTATTTTTAATAATAATGAAAGTTTCATAAAATATATGAAACATTTCCGTGTTTTTAATTTGCATGCCATTTTGCATTTCATAAAAACATATTATTTTTAGAATAGGATACACCTACCAACCAACAATACACCTACCATTAAACAATATAAGGGAAACCTGTTATTGGCCATACTTTTAGTTTGTTACATTAATGTTAATATTTTCTATATACGCTGTTGGTTTTCTAAATAAATAAATAAATAAATAGAATATATCGAAAATGGCATGCGTATTAAATAACACCATCGAATTTTAAATAATAATGAAAGTTTCATAAAATATATGAAAAATTTCCGTGTTTTTAATTTGCATGCCGTTTTGCATTTCATAAAAACATATTATATTTAGAATATATCGAAAATGGCATGCGTATTAAATAACACCATCGTATTTTTAATAATAATGAAAGTTTCATAAAATATGTGAAACATTTCCGTGGTTTTAATTTACATGCAATTTTGTACTTTATAAAAAAATATTATTTTAAGTTTATGACGAAAATAGCATGCGTATTTACATCTATAGTTCAACAGAAAAAAAATGTTATAAAAAATTTAACAAT